AAGCAGAGGCGGGTACAAGGGAGGCTCGTTCCCTGCTGCTTTAACGAGACTGACTAACTCTGGAGAAAGACACGCTCTGCAAAGGCTTGGGTTCGCCTGCGTGAGCCGCGCGTTCCCACCTACCGCTGCTGTGGTCCCCAGGAAGGACCCCCGCTTTTATTTCCCCTACTCCTTTAGGACTTCTACGAAGCCAGTGGAGAAGCCACAAGCAAGGGGACGAGCCCTGGGGCACTAATACTTTGTAAGTCCCTTTTAGCTACGCAGTCTCCAGCTGGAGACGTGTGGTGGGAGAGGCTCCGGTCAGCGTCGTGGGCTGGGGAGTCCCTGCTCTGCCCAGGTAGGTCTGAGCCCACCAAAGTGTCACTGGGCTTCGCACGGTGGGGATCGGGGGGATGCTCAGCGCCTTGGGTGAGAGGGCGTCTGTCCCTCCGGCAGTTAATGCGCCGGGTCAGAGAGTCCGCAAAGGGCTGAGAGACCCCAACTGTGGCTCCCCCGGCCCTGACACAACAGTGCAGCCATCTGTCTTGCATCCCGCGCTCCGGGAAACACCGGCAGGTCTCAGCAGCGGCTGGTAATGCTGCCAGCAGATTTTTGGCATGGCTTTGCAGTATGGTAACTTAATGAGCATAACACGGTCTCCTCTGTGGCTTGTTCCCTGCTGGCAGCTACTTGAGCAGCTCCTGCAACTATGGGCCCAAAGTGCCAGCGCTGCAAGAGTTCATGCCCCGACAAGAAGATTTTTGCTGCAGCTGTGAACACTCAGCTTCCCCTGTGGACACCCCCACCGCAGTCACCCAGCTGGAGCAGCAATGAAGAGCATGGTTTTTCAAAGGAATAAAGTCCTTTGAGCAGGGGAAATCCCTGCTTTCAAATAGCTGTTACTCACAACGCAAAAGGATTCGGGCACTTACGCTCAGTAACAAACTGTCCTGCTCCAGATCACCGACTGGCACACGGACGCTGTGGGCTGCTGAAGCTGGGATGTCTCATAGACCGTGTCCAGCGCTGCGCTGGGGAGAGAAGAGAGCAGGGGGTTTACTGGGATCTGTGCTGGACCCAAAGATGATACCAGGCAGACCCCTTCGCTGAGGTAGGTTTAAGCCACCCAGTTTAGGTGTTGTCCAAGAACTGGGAAGGAGGACCACAGCTTCCCTGCCCGCTCCCTGGGGAGAGACAGAGGCCTCGGGAAGGCACTTGCTGCTGACAGTGTAATGTCACCAACTCCTGCCAACACGGCATTCAGAATCGTGTTAGACCCAGAGGAATCTGAGGCTGGCGCAAAAGTCATGACTCAAGAAAAATAAAGTAGTTTAAGTAATTAATTTGCTCTAACGTCTCCTTTAGCAGCCACCAAGACTCTTGCCTAGTCCCAGACAGCTAGTGCAGGTCTGTGTGTCTTTTGACGGTGCCCGAAGCACGCTCCCCTGGGAGACCCTCTGCAAGGGCTGTGCTCCCCGGCCCCGCTCCCTGAGGCACTGCTGGAATTACAGGGGCAAACAGGAGGGGGCAGAGCTGGTGCCGCAGCATCCCGCTCCTGGAAAGCGGAGGACAGGGCAGCATCCCCGTCTTTTATTTCTCCAGCCAGACCAGAAATAACACAAGTCCCCAGACTGCAGGGGAAGCAGCTGCCTGCTGGGAAATGCTGCTGGACCATGGGAGAGGGAGAGTAATGCCTGTCCCCAAAACAGCTCCGAGCAAGGCAGACCCACCCTCGCCCTCCCTGCTTTCATGCAGCTCCTCCGTCGGCCATCTCCGGCACAGCGGGGCCAAGAGCGAGGGGCTGGCAGCTGCTCCGTGTCCGCTCCCTCGGACAGGGGTGTGCAGAGAGACGGCCAGGGAAAGGGCTTCATTTCCCTGTGCGTGGCCTTAAAAATGACAAAGGAACCTGCATGCTGAGCTCCGGAGCAGGAGGGAAACGGGCTGGCTTAGCTTTGGAGCCAGGGTCGGAGAAGGGAGAGCTGCTGCGTGTGGCGGGTCTCGGTGCTTCGGGACAATGGCTGGCCGGGAAGGCTTTGCACAGTGCCACGGAGAGGCCCGTGCCGGCATGGCCGCAGCGCTGGGCTGCTGGGAGGCAGGGCGGGCTGGGAGGCTCTGGCAGGCGCTGGGGAGCTGAGACAAGCCTGCCAGAGGCCAAACGACAAACCCAAACGGGATTTTTAACGCCCCTCCCTTGAGGGTGGATGGGAAACGTTAGCAGAGGGTGACCTGCAAATGTGCTGCAGGACGGCAGGAGAGGCCGGTGGGTGCTGGCATGGCACCTCGCCCCGCTCACCGGCCAAGGGACTGCTGGTGCCTTGGCACCTCCGGGAGCAGGGCAGCAGCATCCCTGCCTTGCTCCCCAAGACTGGGGCACCCAAATCTCTGCTCCAACAGGGCCCTGACATGCTGCTTGGGCTTGAGCGCGCTCGCCTGCACCGCCTGCTCCTGCTGGCCCCACGTCCACGCTGCTGCACCTGGGCTCCAGCTGCTCCCCAGGGGCGCCCGGAGCGCTCCTTCGGGCGGTTTGGGAGGGGCTTTGCTGCTTTCCATAAAGTGTTTCCTGTTTGCAGGCAGCAACTTATCCAGACATTTGCATGTGACAGGCTGGGCTCGCTCTGCAAACTCTGCTGCCGCTGGGCTGGCAGCAAACTGCCTGCACACCGCATGCAGCCCGCTCCCGAGCAGCCATCCGAGACGGCATCCCATGGCGTCTGAGACAGACGGTCCGTCGGATGAGCAGCTTCCTGCTCCGGGATGCGTTGCTCCCCTGGGAAGAGAGGAGCAGCTCACGGGAGGCACCCGTCTGTCTCACCTCTGCTCGCTGTCAGCAGCAGCGGGGGAACAGGGAGGATTTTGGGGCCAGCTGGGAATGCAGGCAGGTGCCTGCGGTCCCGTGTCCCTGTTTAACTCCACTTCCCTGGGGCTCCAAATGGCTGACACCAGGCAGCACTGCCCCTGCTCAAACCAGAACAGCTCTCGTCCAGAAAGAGTTAATGTTTTAGAGAGGAGTTCATTATATAAGCGAGAGATAAGGCTGCTGTGCTCGTCAGACCAAATCCCTGGTAGCCGAGGATGCTGCCCGACCGGCCACGGCAGGAGCAGATGCTGGGGGAAAGGTGCTAAGGGAGAGGGGCAGGTGCCAGCGGCCCTTCCCGTGTTTCACAGCTCTCGCAGCGGGAGCTGGCTGGGATGCCACCGACTGCGACATGCTGTCTCAGGCATGTGACAAAGCCGTGGTCCTCCTGCCCACACAAACCAGGCTGAGCAGCTGCTGGCTTGCAGGGAGCCTGAAAATGAAAGGGGCCTCGTCTGCCTCGGATGGCAGAGGCTGCGTGCTGGGTGCGGCGCCTTCGGCTGATGATTAGGAGCTACCACCAGGCTTGGCGGTGTGAATCTTTATCTGTCTGCACCTTCTTGTAACCCTCCTGCCTGGCCCCAGCCAGCTTTGGACAAAGGCTTGCCTGAAGTCTGCTGTTTCGCTCCATTTGAAACTCCATTTGCCTTTCTCAACACACCCGCGTTATCCTGCCGTGTCCCTGCTGTAATCCAACACTGTTGCTCTTCATGCGGTAGTTCCCGTCATTGTGCTGGGGCAGAGAGAGAGGAAAAGAGTGAAAAGCCTCTTCACAGCCGTTGCTGTGTGCAAAAAAAAAACAAAAAAAATAGCTGAAGATCAAGTCAGGCATGCACACAGCCCAGTCCTGGCTGTGCCACCTGCGGTACCTGCAAAGGACAGCGGCAGAGCAGGCCAGCACAGCGGCGAACAGGCTGCTTGCACGGGCACGGGCGCTGCGTCCAGCTGTGCCTCATTCAGCCTCTGCACAGAGACGGGATGAGCTGCACTGATACAGCCAGTTTCCACCATCTCCTGTGGAAAAAAAAAACCCACATCTACTCCCATTTCTTCTTGGTTCGAGTTTCCGAGCAGTTGCGTAGGCTGGGGTGGTCACACAAGCCTGCAGTCGGTGTCCTCGGGGTGCTGGAGCCTGGCTCAGCTGGCTCGCCACCGCGTGTCACCCTGCGAAGGGGCCGTGGGCGCTCCCCGGCGCGCTGCGCCCGGGCTGCGAGACGGCGCTGGGAGGTGGCGCGGGCTGTTACGCCGCGGGTCAGAACCGGGGCTGTCTCTAAAGGAGCAGCCGAAGGAGAGGGGATGCGGTTGTCGTTTCCTGCAAAGGGCTGAAATTCCCAGAGGGTGCAGCGTGGTCCTTTGGGCAAAGACTGGCTGGAGGCAGGCTGA